GGAAACGGTGTAACCTTTCCATTTAGGCCTTCTGTCCTCTAGGACCCGCATGTGCCTTGGCTTGTATTAACACCGTATGTGAAACTATAACAATGTAGAGCAAGATATAAATGTGACTTTTTCTTTTCTAACAAGCAACACATTCCCTCCAAAGAGAATCTCTGCTACTAAGAGCAATGCAAACTCCTTTTTCACAAGTGGCATTAACAAATAAACCCCCTGCAATCAGTTCCTTCTGGATCACCATCCAATGGTGCACAGACTGCAATTTAAAAACCAATGCTTCCAAAACATTTTTCAACCTCCCTTTTTTCTTTTAATTGATAAGTTTAAATGTTAGTAGGTTTTAACTTGGCCAGAAAATGCATAATACAAGTGCATCATCCAAACACAGAAACAGTCTCCTGGGTAGTTATTTCCACATCCTAGTGGTCAAGGAAAAAATCATGCTAATGAAGTTAGACTTCAACCATGCCCAGGAGCATGAGAACTCAAGACTGAAAGCAGAAATTATTGGGTTAGGTATATAGCCTGTTATGACCACCTTGGTCCTTGTGACCTCCAGGTCTGAGTCTGCACGATCTAACCTATTTGGGTCACCCCTTTTCTCAGTGAAACTTGCCTTTTATGGACTCTTTCCCATTTAGCTTTGCTGCTCTTATTACTGGTAAATGCTGTCTTGCAAACCCTGTGGAATAGCACATAGAAAAGATATACTTTGGGGCACTGATGAGCCAAGGAAACTCAACTGAGTACACTCAGACTGCTGACACAAAGGGTGTTTTTCTGGCTTTCTTCCTTTCTCTAAACTCTCAGCCTGAGTGAACACCTGAGATGACTTCCTAGATGAAAATACTATGCCTCCTGTTATAGCAAATTAACTATTTTCTTTTAACTTGTGCAAGGAATTACTCCACTTGAGTATATCACTCCTTCCCTTCTGAGACAGATAGGAAGTGGTTTGGGAAAAGTGCTCTGCAGGACATATCCCACCAAGGTAGTTCTTACAAAGCTATACTGACAAGGAAAATAGTAAGGAAGTACTCAAATCAGCAGGTCTGCTCAAGTCAGCAGGTCTTATTTTTTTCTTCTAAAATCTATGGGAGAGCTGAGAGCTGATCCACCTCCATTTAACAAGCTGAAGACACTCTTGTATGCAGTACACATTACTATCAATAAGACTTCCAAGTCTAACTTTGGGGACATCATTGCTAAATATTGAGCAGTTTTCCAGCAAAGCATGTAACTGTAAACATTTTAAATTAAAATGTCATTGGATTGAGAAAACAAGTGAGTCACTCTTCAGGTTGAAATTTATCTGTAGCTATTTTAGATAGCTTATTTTTATCAGTGCAAGTGATACAACAAATATGAATCAGTCATTTAAAAGAACAAAGCAGCACCAGGACTAGCCATGGAAGTCTTATGTACTGAGATTCTAGCTGAATTCCCATTAGTTGATTTAAAAGAACTAGCTGAAGTTTAGGATAGCCGTTACATTATTTTCTTTCCCAGAATAAATCTGTATTATACTTAATTAAAAAAAAAAGAACGAAATACACTTCCTAGTGCTGTGCGTTTTATTCTAAAAGCTGCTATTATTAGAGTAATAGAAAAATAGAGCTAGAAGGGACTTCAGGAGGTCATACTGCTCAAGGCAGAATCATTCCAAGATTATCCCCACCTAACCTGCTCTTAAAAACATCCAAGGATGGAGTTTCCACAGCCTCCCTAGGCAGCTTGTTCTAGTACTTAACCATCCAGCCTAACTTGTCTGTTACAATTTAATGCAGTTACTTTTTGATTTGTCCCCTGCAGTTACAGAGAAAAGTCTATTGCTGCTCTCTATATAACAACCATCCAAGTATCTGAAGGCTGCTATCAAATCCTCTCTGTCTTCTCCTTCCTAAACTAGTCCCAGTTCTTCCAACCTTTTCTCATAAGTAGTCTCCTAGATATCTGATTAAAACTGGTGCCAACACTGGACACAGAACCCCAGGTGAACCCTTATTATTGCTGAATAAAGTAAAAGAATCATTTCCCTTGACTTGCAGGTAACACTCCTCTTAAATTAATACAACCCAGTATGCTATTTCTCTATTTTATTAATTTTGCAACTCATTCAGCTTGTGGTCCACTAATTCCCAGATCCTTTATGACAGTACTGCAACCTAGTCAATTATTCCCCCAATTTGTATTCATACATTTGACAGTTCCATCCTACGTCTGGGACTTTGCACCTGTTCTTGTCATCTTTTTTTAAATAAAAAACAAAGAAGTTCTGAAAGGTATCAACATCATTCTGAATCCTGATCAAAGGTGCTTGCAATTTCATCCAGTTTGTCATGTGCAAATGTACTAATTGTGCACTCAATCATTAGTCATTAACGAAGATATTAAATAGTCCTGAGCCCAGGACAGACCCCTAGAGGACCTTACTTGGTATGTACTCTTAATTAGACATCACACTGGACTTGATCTTCCAAGGTCCCTTCCAGCCCTAGTGTCTATGAAAGCTAGTGATGACTACTCTCTGAGCATGATAATCCAACCATTTTCCAGCACGTTCTCCCTAGACCATATTTCCTCAGTTTACTAATGAGACTATTATGGGAGGAAGTGTTGAAAGCCTTGCTAAAGTAGAGAGATATCACATTCAATGCTCTTTCTCTATCCACAGAGCTCATCACATTGTCATAGAAGAAAACCAGGTTGGTCAAACATGACTTACTGTAGAGAAATCCATGTTGGCCGTTCCTGATCACTTTCTTCTCCTGTAGGTGTTTAGAACTAGATTCCTTGATGACATGCTCCATAATCTTTCCAAGTATTGATAAGTCAGACTGATGGGTCTGTCATTCTACAGATTCTTTTCCTTCCTTAAGCGTGGTCACTATATTTGCCCTTTTCCAGTTGTCCAGGAACTCTCGTGACCTCCACAAGTTCTCAAAGAGAATAACCAATGGCTCTGCAATTACTTCAGCCAGTTTTTGGGTACTCATGGATGAATCTCATCTGGCCCTACAGACTTAAATACCTAGGACATGTCCAGACGAGAGTGCATGTGCAGTTTGCTGTGCTGCAAACTGCATGCGCTGCACATGCATACATTAACTGTGCTGCTAATTAGCAATGAAGCAGGGTATTTTTTACACTGGGATCTCCAGGTGTCAAAAAAAAAGGACAAGAAAAAAGCAGGAAGGCACATGTGGTGACAGTGTGCACCACCCAAAACCGGAGACTGGCCGGCCCGAGCAATGCTCCAGTTGCTGGCCCCTACACTATGTAGGGCAACTTGCTGTGCACCAGAAAGCGCAAGCAGGGGCATTCCCTGGGGACAACTAGCAGTGGCAAACACACATTCCTGCTCATGGGGACGTGCCCCTAGTGTCTTTAAATATCTCTAACCTGTTCTTTCCTACTCTAAGGTAATTATCTACTACCCTGTCCTTGTTGCCTCTTGCACTTGTTCTCTGATAGCAGACCTTATTTGTGAAGTAAAAAATGCTTGAAATATTTTTAGCCTTCATTGCATCATCTATTATTAGACTGTCCTCCCCATGAGTAAGAGGCCTATGCTGTCCTTGGTCATCATTGTTCCTCTACTATACTTGTAGAACGGCTTTTTGTTTTGGTTGTGGTTTTGTTTAATACCCCTTGCTAGCTGAATCTCAATCCATACCTTAGATCCACCTGGTCTCAGAATTATTGAATCAAATTAAAACCAAACCCAGACCTGTATTAAGGCTTATGACAATCTCCCCAAATGCTTATTAGATACTAACGTATCTAAGCAATGAACTAATGACTGGCAACTCTTAGCTGCTGTTGTCATCCTAACTACTACTAGAATATAGTAACCAGTATTGCACGAGTAACTCAGGTGGTATAACATGTTCACATCTAGCTTTATGTTGGGCAAGTGTACAAGTCTGGTTACACAAACAAAGAATGAATTTGGATCCAAAGCCTTCTCCTTGCTTCTTGTTGGGCCGTTCTGTGGGACAACCAGCACAACTTCACTGTCCAAAGAGATGCAGATTTTGACCTTCAATACTTGGGGCACAGTTCAGCAAGCTGGGGATGAAGGATCTCCTTCTCGTTTTGGATCCTTATCTCCCTACAGAGTGGGAGTGTGGAAACAGGACAGTGGAATGGAAGATTCCCTTCCCTTTGCCTTGAAGATCCCCTGGACCTAACCAACCTGCTTAGGCTGAAACCAGAAAGAGCACTTCCCTAATGGGTAAACATGACCTTTCTTTATGAAAATGACACAGATTGCCTAATAAGGGTTCCTGGATGTTTGAAATGTCATGTTTACTGCCATCTGAAAATGTGTGTCAAAATGCACAAGGGAAGATGAATATTACTTTTCTTCTTCTCCAGGCAACCACATCAATACTCCATAAATATGAAATAATAAAAGAGGAAATGAAGGTAGAGACAGAAAATAATAAAAATCATCAGCTGTAGGGTATTATGCTTGAGATTCTGCTGGTCTCATCATGAGTCTTCCACAACTAAAATCAACCTTATAAAATTAACTAGAGAACCAGATGTTCCTTATTGGCCCTTCATAATACATTAATATATAATAAATATTAAAATATATAAGAGTATATGCTACTGAACAGCTTTAACAGCAGATAATTTCTGTACATATTTTACTGGATCCCTGCTAGTGATTTGCAATAGCATGCAAATATTAGATAGCTAGGTGTTTTAAAAGCACCTACAATTGGCCTTCAGTGGAAACAGGTAGGCTAACTCTGCGCACTTATCAACATCCCTTGCTAGAATATGATGTTCCTGTGGGTTGCTAGTGAGACAGTCTTATATTCACTGCTCCTTTTCCTTAACTGAATATGGATTCTGGATAATGCTGTAAACGTTCCTGCTTCTTTCACGGAATGTAAATGATTAAATATCGAAATTTTGTTTTCAAAAGCACATTCCCTAGTATATCACACAACCTGGAAATAAGAGTTTCTGCCTCACACTGGATTTAGAGTTTCAGTTTATTCTAAACTGCTGGTTATCAAAATAAAATTAAACAGGAAAAAATGTTTACAGTTCAAATACAAACAAATTGCTTGTGCACAGGCAACTTTCATTGAAACACGTCAGCCTATAACAAAGGCAGAATTTCTCCTGAAAATATTACAATTTTGCATAACTTGTCCATAATATTTTACAGTCCCATTATAACTGAACATGTTAACTGTTTACTGTGCACACTAACTGTATATTTGGTGAGTATTTATTTACACAGATGTATACGGTGGTTTTTTTTCTTTCTTCCTTGCTGTCAGATTTACTTTAAAGTTCAGACTTTTCTTTTCTCAGCTAATCTAATTTGTCAAAGATGGATGCCGTCATCTTTTTCTTTGGAAAACCAAGGATGTTACACTGTTTCCAGTTTTCCCACCAAAACAGAACTTGGGTGTTGGCAGCTCTTCCAGAAAGTCAAATCCTGCCAGACAGAAATGAAAATGATTTCATTAAAAGTGAGTTGTATGTATTAAATTGAAAAACCCTTTGCAAACAGCTGTTAGTTCATCTGGAAACAGAGCATGTTAGTTACTCTGAAAATTTACAGAACTATATTCTTGCTGTATTGCTTCTTTATCCAGCTGAAAGTCCTCTCTGGATAATAAAATCTTAGCTAGCTGGATCATGTAGATTAATGGCAAAAAAGATTATAACTTGCCAGTAATTCTAGTTCTCCAGGAGGAATGGTTATATTAGAGCCATACTCCTAGATTTGAAACTTCAAGCATGAAATTCAAAATCTGACCAACAAAAATATTCAAACTCGTGCAGAGGTTCACTGAGCATGTGACATGTGGGTGTGGTTGCAGCATCAGTGTCTAGTTACTTGTTAATTCGTAACTACAAATAGGTACAAAGGTTTAAAACTCTGCCGGGCAGTTAAGTAGAGGGTTCTGACAAGGCTCAAACGTAATGATGATAAATCTCTTCCCCAAAATAATTTCTCAGATTCTTGTTCTGAGACTTGTAGTTATAACAAAATCCTCGCTCTTAAACTGCATCAGCACTGAAAAATATAGGAGAGCATAATTGTCCCTCCATGCCTTGAAAAGGAGAGCAATAGTGAGAATGAAACTGAGGCATAATCTAGCCCATTTACTGTTGGGTTGTCTAATC